AACTGTTGTTATATGCTGCCATGAACTTTCCTCATCCCGATGGTTCTTGATATATTAACCTTAATGACAGTCAGCATAGCATCCTTATGTTAGAGGTAAGCTAGATAAAATCACTGTCTCTTTTCTCAAGAAGCATCGGTGGCTACCTGCTGGTTCAAACTTATGGTATCAGATCCAAGTTTAAGGTTAGTGCACATAAACAAGGTTGTGGTTGCCACATGTAGCCTATTTTCTTATGATTGATGCCATTTTTTATATGAATAAAAATATATACTAGAGAACAGTCTACTTCTAAGACTACACCCTCCTTTAAGTTTAGTTTTTGGACAGGAGCTTTGTATGTATATGGATACATTAGAGAATGCAAACAGTTAATCAACAAACATTCTTGTTCCTACTGTTGCTCCTGGCCAAAAACCTGTTGTTATATGTTGGACAAATTGAAACCACTTCGTGATGCAAAGCTACTAAGTACTACCCTTTTAATATATGTGAGGTGTTGTATTTAGTTCAAGTAAAAGAGAGAGTTCACAGTTGAAGAAAGGGAGTTTTTAGCAGTGTAGAATTTCACTCTGCCCTTTTTCTAACCTCATTCTTTAAAAATGTCTTGAATATCTTTGACAAACTTATATATATATATATGAATGCCCTTCATGTATTTGATTCATCGTTCAAGCAATGGTAGTGTCAGAATGTGAATCTAACTGACATTTTTGTAGAGAGAAGGGACTTACTGCAGCCTCAATAGCTGTGTCATCAAAAAAGGAGGCTTCAAACTTGAGATCCTTGATTACGGCATTAAGGGTTTCAATCTGTGACTCCAGATCCTTTCCTCTTCTTTTTAGAATCTCGATGGTTTGTTTAGATGTTCTCTCAACATAGTAACCTTCTCCTAATAGAACCTGTAAGTAATCTGGAATGCCCTTCTTTTATCGTTATTCTTTGCCTTGTTCATTCGTATGTTGCTTACAAAATGATACTGAAAGTAGTTATATGACAATGACTAACTTTGACCCATGCATTAATGAGATATTTGGATTTTAATAGCAGTACATGCTGTGCAGCAAGATCAATTTCAGCGCCTGCTGCGGTACTGTCGACATTCATTCAAGTAATTGATTTATCTGAATCAGAAGAAACTGAATACTGGAATGTATTGTCTACTGTGTATTGAAGATTTAGGGAACAATCACATGTGATGGCTTATTACCACGATAAGCGCTTACCGAGTAAATTGTTGCAAAGACTATCGTTTTTGTGAACTATAATCTTACCCGGTAAGTAAATGGTAGTGTTAAATTTTACCCGTAAGCACTTACCGGTAAAGTGTTTGGTAACGCTTACTTGGATAAGAGTTTACCAAGTCATATTATCTTACTAGATAGATATGGTAGGGACCAAAAATTTTACCCGGTAAGAACGAGACAAGGATAATAGTCTTACCCGACAAGTGAGGGTGATGACTCTTACCACGGTAAGCGCTTACCGAGTAAATTGTTGCAAAGAATATCGTTTTTGTGAACTATAATCTTRCCCGRTAAGTAAATGATAGTGTTGAATTTTACCGGTAAAGTGTTTGGTAAACGGCCCCTTATATTGCCTTGTTAACACCTATAAGAACATAACCTCTGATGGGTTTGATGTTAATATACAACTTTGGATCATTCACGTGCTTGATGCTATTATTGCCTTTTTTATAATCCAACTCTATYAAGTSAAGGACTCAAACTAAATAAAGCACCTATCTCAACATCATGGGCTTTGGCAGCGCCTGGGTTTGATTCAAACCCGGGAAGACGAGATATAAAAAATTCTAGCAACAATCATTTGTAAATAAATCGTCGAACCATTTGATTCATTTCTTGCAATTATCAGTTTGTTTCTGGTGAGGTGATCATACTATTTTGAAAATGGGATGAAGCAAATATTTGAATAAGGTTTATTGGTTTTGTTTGTTTTTTTTTTAATCTATGTGGGATTTTAGCTTTTGTTATTGCATATATGTCAATTGGCAGCGAAAGATATGGGACAAGACAATTACATTGGACCTGGGAACATGTCAGAGAACAAGGCAATGACCCTGTTGGCACATAGCAGGTTTGGTATTTTTAATGGTTACGGGTTTGGTTGCATCGACTAGCGATGATAAGACAATGACATTTGTTTCGATGTAGTATGTGTTACGGTTTGTTTTGTTTATGTTGTTCAACTTTTATCTAATTTGGATGACGGATGTTGTTTTTTGCATTTAATGGAAGTTGGTTGGTTTGGCCAAAGTCCATTGGTGGTATCTTTTGGGAACTAGAAACCCACAATAATCCATTTATATCAGTTTGGAAATGCTTAAACTGAGGTTTGGTTTAATTTTGTTTTATGTTATTCATTTACATCCCTTTTTATAATCGTTTATAATAATTTTACTTCCTGCAACATTGTGCTGGTAACACTTTAGCTACTTGTAAAATTATCGTCGTGATTTAATGATTTGTCGATTTAGTTTTTTTTTGTGGTTGCTTTGTGACAGTTGTGCTATTATAGCATCAGCTGGAGTATGTACCGAGTGTTTAATATACATGGACTATTATAGCACCTGGTAACAATACTAAAAGTAAATTATTATCATAATTTATAAGTTCTGATTGAGGTATTTAAAAGTCGTTTATCCAAATGCTCAAAGTCTTTAACCATTTATAATTTTTGTTTTTTGTTATATGAGTCTGCTATTTGCATATTTTTTAAAGAAAACTTCCCATGTATCAGTTAGCTATTGTGTTTTAATGGCAAATGGATGTCAACCAAATGGATTTGACTGATTGGTTGTGCAAGTATCGATAGCTATTTTGTCTCAATGGTAATGGTTGTGTCCCGTTGCATCGCATGGGTATGCAACTAGAAGTAAATAAATCAAATAAAACAATCAATACTTTGTATGAGAATTAAGATTGAATGACAAAACAAACTATTTAAAAGTCAAAAAATCGACACAAGTTGGTTTGGTCTTGCTATGGCAATCACGTGTGTATCTGTTGTAATCGTCAATCGGTATTCTCACTTACATTTATGTAAAACTTATACCCCGCCGCATTGCGCGGGTAGACAACTAGTATATCATAATATATATATATATATATATATATATATATGCTAGGTTCAAACAAGAAACCTTGAATTTTAAGAACGGGAGAGACAATCTCAACAACTGGTTTAATTATTTTTATTTTTAAGTATTTTTTTCACTAATTAAGATAACTATGAAAAAAAAAATCCAAATTTATCTCCTATTTTTCCTGTAACATTTTGAATGTTGATAATGATCGATTTTTTATCCAACTTTCCATCTTGTAATCATTGGCGAATTCACAATCTACAAATCAAATTAATCTTATTTGCTAATCTCATATGTGAACACGAAATTATTGTCCTTCATATGTCGTTTGAAAATATAACCAAACACAAAAGATCCCAACAAACCATTGTTAGATGGTGATAATTAGGGGTATATTGGTTCATATGTAAATATGAATCCTAATAAAGATTCACATGTGAATCTTAATTAAAACTTGCACGTAAACAATTTAAATTTAATAATCGAGATTATGAATCAGTTAAAGATTCATATGTGAAATCTTAATTATAACTTGTACGTGAATCAATTTATAATTTACAATCGAGATTCTTAATAAGTTAAAGATTCATATTTGAGTACACACATGACGTATATTATCTTGAGAAGTGATAATATTTGAGAAGTAAATAAGTGATCATAACCTTTCATATGGTCAATATTGGATTTGACTGGTCAAAAATTACGTCTACACACAAAATAGAGGGAGTAGTTTTGTAACTTTTATAAATAGGGACAAATAGATTCATATTTAAACTGTGTGTTTCACATATTAATCATATGTCTATATGTGAAGCCGTGTAATTTACATGTGATCTATTTTAACTGATTCATATATGAACCAATTAACTGATTTACATATGAACTAATTAACTAATTCACATATTAACCCATGAGTATGCATGGGAATGGGCTGGGGATCTCAATCTCCATCCCCGTCCCCGATTACTTATCTCTATCCCCATCCCTATCCCCGCCGGGGAATATAATCACGTCTCTATCCCCATCCTCAACGGGGAACGGGGATCCCCGATGGGGAAATATATATATTTTTTCCGTTTATATAAGTTATTTTAAATTAAATATGCGAGATGCCATAAATGTTTAAATCTCAAACATTTTTAATAAACCTAAAACCAAAATGAGTTTAATTTAATACAAACAAACTACAACATCATATAAGAATTAATAACCTATAACAAAAAAAACTTAAATTCACACGTACCAAAAGATATTGAATAATATAAAACCATACCAATTAATATATAATACTTATCAAGTAATTGTATTTTGACTTGACATCCAAAATATCTATACTATCTTATTAAGCAAATTCATCAAAAGTCTTAAAGTCTTAAAATTCTAAATGACCAAGATACCTTTTTTACTTTTTTACTTTTTCACCTCTTCCTCTCCTCACATACACTCACCCCCTCACATACATTTACAGATTTTTTTTAAAATTATAATTTAAAATTTACATTTTATATCCCTATAATTAGTTAATTATTTTACGTCATTTACTTTTAAATGTTTCATTTTAAACATTTATCAAATTAACATACATAATCGTATATCAAATAAAACATGTTTAAAAAAAACATTTTTATTTTAACAAGTTACACTATTATAATCGTCTCGTTAATACCTTCGAAATGAGTCCAATATTGAATAGTTTTTGACTTAATTATATTATCTATACTACATTAATAACCATTTAAACCAAAGTCTTAAGTACAAATTTTTAAGCATAAGTTACAACAATTTTATGCAAGAATTTTAAAAAACTCTTAATTACAACTCATCATGCATATGGTACAAGTTTTTGATGCAGACTATCTCTCACGACTTCTTCTCTAACAAATTTGGTTAGTCAGACCTTTACTTTCTTCTGCTCTTCTCCTTTTCCTCCTTTTACAGCTTTCCTCTGCACCAAAACAGGTTACTTTCTTCTGCTCTTCTTCCTTTTCCTCCTTTTACAACTCTCCTCTACACTAAAACAGGTTTGTTTGGTAAGGTCAAAGCTTGCTTTCTTCCAATCCTGCTACTTTGTACAAATGGACGATTTCAGACTTCAAACTTGTGGCTCCCAAGACCAAGAAGACTGCGCATATAACCAGGGTTTTGGAGTATTGATTTTCAACAATGATTTCCCGTAATTTACATTTCGTGGCTCCCTAGCGATTTCTCTGAGGTATGGTCCATTTCCATTTCAAAACCCTAGCGATTTCATGGTCTTGATTTACGGGGTTCTACAGCTTCATCTCTGTTTTACGCTTCTTGTTTTTCTTTCTGCCTCAAATAGCCAAATTTTACACTTGTTTGTGTTGGTGTTTGTTGTAGCCAAACTTTCATACGTCTGTGTGTGTGTGTGTGTGTGTTTGTCTTCGGCTATGAAAACATATCTATGGAAGTTGTCTATTTCCTTTTTGCTATTATCTTTGTTTTCATAATGTAGGAAATGGATACTTTAATGCTTATCAGTTCTAAAATGACTTCATTTTGATTGTTTGATTCAATTTTCAGTTTTATTTTCACAAAATGCAGGTTTTTGGTTTGCTGATCGGTTTAAGGGCGTGCTCACATTTCACATATTCCATCTCATGCGCTACACCATCTGAACTGTTGTGGATAGCTACGTGCCTACGTTGTACAAAGTGACCAAGGATGAATCATACTTGAAATATTTGTTGGGCATGTGAGGATTGCTTCCCCAAAGTGGTACAAGTGTACAACTTTTATTTATTAATAATATTGTTCTTATTAGTTTGCCATTATTTTTCAATTGTGTATGCTTGATGAACTTTTAGTAACTGATATATTGCTAGATTCTAGCTATATTCTTATGTTGTAGATATATGATAACTTGTGTATTGATTCTTTTGTTAATTTTCTTGATAGTCTGAATAAGAATATGTTTTAGAAATTGTGGATGTTTTAAGGCTTTGTTTCTTTGTTGTTCATCCCTATTTGGTGTTGGGCTGCATTTCTCATATGTATGTGTTGTTCCTCAACGAGCTTGAATAAAATCCAAATGATTGTTGATGTTGTAGGTATGTTCTATAACCGTGAAATATAAGCTTTGATGTTCCAAATAGAATTTATAAAAATAGGGAAATGATTAGTACTTTGGTTTTAATTTATATGATTAGTATTTCATATAAAGATTTGATTTCAAAATCTGGGTCAGTCTCAGATCTTCCTAAAGTTTCGGTTTGAGGAGATGATACCGCTGCTTTGTTGTACTCATCTGGGACAACTGGTGTTAGTAAGGGTGTCATTTTGAGCCAGCGGAAATTCATCTCAATTTCACAAATATTAGCTTCTGATCAAAGATTATTGGGGGAAAAGGGTTATATTTTTATTGTTAGCCAACAGATGGTATAAAAAAAGCCAAATTTCACCTGAAGGCTAGACCACCCTTTCTTGATGTCATCTGATTCACTATCACCTTCGTCAATCCAAGACCATAATATCCTTCTCTTATTCGCACCATCGTAAAATGAATTTTGAAGCATAAAACCTSYCRTAGTCATATTGTAATCGCGCTTTACTATCCATGAAGTCTGTATGGACTTCATACTGGTCAGTTTTCGGATTATAATTCCCGAGTACATAATGGTCATGGATGGGCAGAACGGAGTTGGAAGGAGGGGGATAAAGGACTTGCAGTTTCAGTCGATGGAGCGATGAAGGGATGTGCGTTTTGCCTTGCCTTACATGCTCTCCATATTCTATGTTTCAATGTACACAAATTGGGGGGTTTTTCATGGATCAGTTATGTTTATTTTGATTTCTCTTCTTGATGGGTGGTTTTTTATTGTTATTATCTGCTAGATTGTTACTTCATATGTATAGTGTGCATATAGTCTTCTATAATTTTGTATAGTTCATACCTGCATATATTTTCAATGGTCAGTATGGTCAACAAAATTTTTTCTTATGAAGCTGATGTAAGATGAGCCATGATGCATCTTTAAGAGAATCATATGAATTATCATGCAACCATGTGCAGTATTTCTCAACAGCCGAAACTTTTCAGAACATTTATGTTATGTTGTTGTAGTCTTTAGCTGCTTGGTAGTTGATGCTACTTAGAAAATGCTTGTTTTTTTAAGAAAAACATATAGTCACTCATTGATAACTTAAGTGAACTATGTCAAAATAATTGAACAAGCCACTAAAAATATTTAAACAAGAGTGGAAACATTTCCTGTTGTGAAGTTTCAGTTTTTACTTCTTAGAACCAACTGTGTTAATGTATGTGCTATGTGGATGCAGGTTAGGACATTATGTGAGAAGACGAAAGAGATACTCATGGGTGAAAGCAATGTTCAGGTATGAGTCTTTTTCCCCTTTTGTTGTTGAACGAGTCATTCTTTAATATTTATCCAGTCTACATGTTACCTTTGTGACTTTATAGTTGAGTTCAGGATCTGTCTGAATTGTTAAACAGACATATAAAATGCCTTGGGAAATTTGAGAACTTATCTCCATAATGAACAGTACATATCTATAAGCTACTCGGATATAAATAAAACATAGGAAAGAATGTTGAAAGAGCATATATGAACATGGCCACTAACCATATTTCTCAGTAAGAAACTAATAACAGCCTAACATATGCATCTTCTCAAAATTTCACATCCTGTTGTAAGTAACTTGAACCTTACTTGATGAGGCATCACATGTTTTTTTGGCTCTTCTGAGAGCACTCAAACTGTATTTTCACAATGTAAAACCACATTTTTAGATTATCAATATGCTTGCTTCCAAGTTTTTTGTCAAACAGCAGCCTTTCTAGCACTTCAGTTATCTAGACACACACACATCTTATACACACACACACACATCTAGACACATGTTTGGGACTACATTATGTGTCCATTTCATCTTATACACACTCCATGTGACTGCTGTAATGAACAAAAAACCAAATTATTAATCGGTGCACAAGTTTGGGACTACATTTGTTGTTTCCTATATGTGCACAAGTGAAATATGTATGCATTGGTGGTTATACTCTCTTGATGGTGCACAGTCTGAGATACAGATACTCTCTGTGGTTATACAGTCT